GCGGCCCCGCCTCCCGCCCCGATTGGACGGAGGAGGCGTTCTCATTTGCATCGCCACGCCCCTCTCCGCTCTTAAAGAGACAGCGTCTTCTCCTCTTCTTCCTCCCCCCCCCCCTTAGGATGGTTTTCCTTCTCCCCATGTGAGTGCTCCGAGCGGGCCTGTGCCCTGCTGGCTTTTAAAAGGGAGGGTCTGGAAGGTGCTGGGTCCTGCCGGGAGGGCAGGGGACTGGACTTGACCGCTGGAGCTTCCTTCTGGTGCTAGCGTGCCATGATTCTGGGAAAGTGGGCGTGGGGGGCTCCTTTGGGTTTTCGGGTGCAGGAGTCCCGAAAGGGGAAGTGCTTTGAGGAATGTGCTGATGGGGGAAGGCAGAGATAGGAAGCCTCTGGTTTGGTTCATTTCACTTCTTGGCAGGCAGTGAGCCCTAGTGGCAGTGGCAAAGGCGGGAGATGTCGCAGGCTGGCGCAGCACCTCCGGCCTTCCCAAAGCAGGGTCCCAGGGTGCTCCCCCGTGGCCGGAAGGGATTTCATCCCTGGAGGGGTCCGGCGCATGGGGTCCCTGAACGCAGAGAGCTAGACTCCAGGCTCAGCAACCAGGACACCATCCCCTTTATTGTCTGAAAAAGAGAGGGCAAAAGAAGGTTTCCCCCTTCTGGTGGTAAGTCACTTGGTGCCATGGCGTTTTAGACACTGATCTGGGTTCCTTGGGGGGGGGGGATCGTATGTGTGTGCGAGGGGTGGATTTTACAGATTTCAGCGCGAGGACACGTTTCCTTGTGAATTTAGACCCTTTCTAAATCAAACGGATCCCATCTATTTGCCCTCCACCCCCACTCCAAAAAGCCCCCCACCCCCGCCATTGGGCTATAGGATGGTCACATCCGCAGAGGCCCCCGCAGAAAAGTGCAGCGACGGGGGGAGGGGTGGAATGTTGGCGTCCCTTAGAACGTCTGAGGGACACTTTGGAACGTTCCGTGTGTGTCCAAGGTTCCACGCTGGAACCCTGGGCCCAGCTGGCAGGCGCGCGAAGGGTTAATCATACCTTGCGTTCGGCGTGTAGCACTCCCAGGCGCCCAGCGAAGAGGCCAGCTTGCTGGGCACGGAGCGCGACACGGGGCCGCAGAAAGTGGCCGGGGCAGAGGCCTTAGGAGCAGGGCCCGATCTTCTTTGGAAAGCGGACCTGGGCGCCTGGGAGTGAAAACTTCCCCAGTGAAAACCTATCGATCCGTCCAGCTGTTGGTTTCAGGGACGAAATCCAGCCAAACGAATGCATTGATCGTTTCAAGGTGCGGCGAGGTGGGGTGTGTTTACACAGGGGGTGACTCCTGTTTACAAAGAGAAGCGGGGGGAGGAGGGGAGTGAGGTTTCTGGGGCGGGGAGGAGGGTTAATTACCCCCTTTCCTTTTTTTTTTTTTTTTGGCAAGGTTTGGCTGTAAAGTGCATGCCAGCGTCTCCAGCAAATCTCACCTCCATCCCATACACCACAAAAAATCACCTTCGCAAGGCTTTTAAGGGAAGACGGTTCTACCTCAAGCGGCTAATCCGGAGCCGGTGGATTTCGCATCTGTGCGAAAGCAAAACCAGGCGGAGGGTTTGTTTAAACACGACAGCAAATATTAACCCAAGTCCCGGCGCTGGATTTAGAAAAGCCACCGCCGGCTGCAAGCCCTGGCTCTGTTTATAGACGGCTAATTAATTTTCTCCAATAAATTGCCTCAGTTTGAAGGCTCCTTTCTAGGCACAAACATCCTTTTGTGGCTAAAGTTGTACGTTTCAGCGCTTCTCGGACCCATTGCCTTCTTCAAATACCTACGCCTCCCTCCCTAGCTATTATGCCCGCACTGGGAAAATGCGGCTACTCAGTCACCAAACAGAAACGCGGCCGTATACACCTTTGAAAGTAAGATGAGTGCCTCTGCTGTAACCCACGGAGCAGGGCAGAGGCGCTTCGCTATTGAAACACTTTCCTCAGGCGTGAGCGCTTCAAATGAAAGGCAGCTCTGGATTTCCAGACGCTTGGGGATTCAAAACTCGGAGTGGGTTCGAAAACTTCGCGAACTTCATTCCGCTCCGATAGAACCCAGCTGCCAGGTTTGGTTAGATACCAGGGAGGATTTGGCCATACGGGAAAAGGCTGCCTGGATGTTTACACCTTCTGGTGTTTTGGTCCGCTTCCTCGAGTGAAGGCCACAATTTAGGGGTTGAAAACACCAATTCACTGCCAATGAATATGTGCATTTCACGCGTGTCCTGAATCAGAAGTGGCTTTTGAAATACAGGGGGGATCTATAGCCCCGTCCCATTTTTGATCTTTTGCGTGCACACGGGTTTTCCCTGTGCCTTAAATCGTTGCACCCTTTATTCCGGGTGGTGTGGGAAGCGAATCTGGAGCGCAGAGAGGCCCCAGAGAGACAAATAAAAACCAGGAGAAGGCCACGCTGCATTATAAGCTTGTCCATCACCCGAAGGTAAGAATGATTTTTCAGGGCATTCAACTGCCAGTAGGATTCAAAGAATAGCACTGGGAGATCTCACTGGCCCACTATTAATGTCTGGCTCCTTTTTAAGGAAAAGGGGAAGTTCACAGAGTTGTTATGCTTAAGGATTTTCGAGCAGGTGCGATTTTATAATGATGGGAGATCGCTGTGTGTCAATGTGCGCGCCCACAAACCTACCGCGCTGCGCGCACATTGTAAATTACACGGCTAACATACACCATTTCATCCTAGACAAATCTGGGGCATGCCATGACCCAGACTTCCGGCATAATACATGGCTGGGACGTGTTTAAAGTTACCTGTAGAGCTAGGACACCCACTTGCTGTTTCCTGGGTTGTATCCCGTGGGGCTAAATTCCTGCTTCTTCGCTAGATACATACACCTCTGCCCAAAATTCCTCCCCGTTTCTGTGTTCGAAATGATCGCTGCTTGGACTGCCACAATCCAACCTCAAAGTACCAGATTGTCACGCTTTGCTGTTATTCTTGCAGTGACAATTAGGAACGCTAATAGACTTTCGCCTCATTCTGGAAGACACGACAAAAGAAATTGACACACAATCCCATCACACTGGAACTATCCGACAACAATCTGCCTCTCTTCCCATCCCCCGCCTCACAACCCCACACGCACACCTTGGCGTCTCTCCAAGGGCTTGGTCCTGCTTGGAAAGAGATGAAATTAATTACCGGGGATGGGCGAGTCCAGAAAGACACCTGTAAACGCGAGAAAGCCAGGAACCCGTGGTTTTCCCAGTGTTGCATTCTCATCAGGTCAGTTTCACTCGGTGGTCAGCTCGCCGGAGTCTTGGATTCGTTCCCTCCTTTCAAAAGAATTCTCTGTAACAATCCTAAAGACAAATTGCGGTGGATTTATTTTAAGGGACGGCAGTGTTGGCTGTTATTCTTGTATCACGTTAGATCAACTGTTCCATCAAGAGTTCACATTAAAAACAAACAAACAACCCTCTGATTTGATCCACATGGTTTCTCATTTTGGTTAAAATGAGTTTGGGGTTTGTTTGGGGAGGGGGGCCATTTCCCCCTGTCTTTCCAACTAAGCCCCTTCTCCCCTCCCCTGGCAGAATAAAACTGAAGCATTTGATTCTAATTATGGTTGGCAATTATAAATCACAAAGAGATCAAATGAAAAATTACATTTATAGCTGCTGCTTTCTTCCATAAAGTGGAATACAGAACAATTGAGATTTACAAGGGAAATTACAAAATGTGTGAATGTTTCCAATATGAAAAGGTTTTTTTTTAAAAAAAAAAACCCAGCCAGTGACATGTTTTGTTAGTGTTCTTGTTTATTAACTGTGATGTACAGACATTTTGAAATTAAAAGTATAAACTGCAGTAAATGTAATTGGAACCATGCATGTGTCTGTACACACGCACACACACTGCAGGGAATTACTTAGGCATCCATCAACATCCAAATCTCACAATGATTATCACTCCAAATGTTAGTGTACGCGGATCCATCCAGGGTTTTTTTTTTCCTTTCTAAAATGGGCCCCTTTGCTTATTTGTGTCATTTTCCGAGAAGGCTACAGTTCTCAGTTTGCACAAAATTATCCTGTGGGCTGTAAACAAATACAAACCATTAAACGTTAACAAAAATTCAACTGGAAGAGATGTAGCCCTGTATTACAGAAACAATCCGTGTCACGGGGTTAGAACTGCAGTCTGGGAATTTTGCACAAGTCCTCAATAAGGGCCTGATCCAAAAGCCATTGAAGTGAATGGAAAGATTTCCTTTGATTTCCAGAGGCTTTCCTGCTATCCTGTACTCAGCCTGAAACTCCGTGGGCTTTTCCTACTAATCATGCACATTTCTATAATGCCTGTCATGTCAGGCCCTCAAGACACTTGAGTCCCATTCATGACTTCAGTCTCACAGCATCCCGGAGCAAGGTAAATAACTTCAGACCCATGGTACAGGTGGCTGAAGCAAAGCTGTTACATGGATTGTGCAGTTCACCTTACCCCAGACAGAGCCTATGGTGAACCAGCAGCTGCCTCCCAATCTCTCCTTTTTGCTTGGCTCCCACCCGCAAAAGTGGAGCACAGTTCACAATTTGCACTGTGATT